ACGCTTATAGGTAGTCAGCAGCGAAACCTGGCTTAGTGTATATAAAATTTGGTGTTGGGAGTAACATCTCTGGTGGACAATAATCACCAATTCCAGTATGGCAACGAGGTGTGTTTATAGGATACTCAGTGCCATTCCCAATTCAAGAGTATAAGATGGGTAGCTCGCCCAAAATACTTCAAGATCTTTTCACATGATTTTTCCATAAGTAGTTGGACTGCTTGATTTTAAATGAAGGAAGGGCATGATCTTGGCATGGATGCAGAAGAATGAGATAAATGAGGAAATAATAGCCTTGCAAGACTATCATGATATTTTTTCTGCTGCTCCTGACTACCTACCAAAGGTTTTTTATAAGTGTGTCCATTAGCCAGTCACTCATGCAAGGGAAAATTATCTAGGGTTATGCTCTGGCCAAAGCCAACAAACCTTCACCACTTACATTCAGGCAAAAGAGCTTGGAAACCCCTAGCAATCAATTTCAACCGTACAATTAAAACAATTAGCCAAAGTTCTGTCTTGCCAGAATGCAAAGTGAAGAGGCCTCGGAAATTGCTTGACATTGCACCACTATCACGTTGGACTTCAGACTACAGGCAATGCATCAGATTTCACAACAAGCTTGAAGTGGATTTGGATGGATTACAACCAATGATATTACGAGAAAGAGCCCCGTTTTGAAAGCAAATTCAGATATTACCTGTCATTCATGGACGTTTAGAAACAATTTTTGGTGCATGAAAGACATTTTCTTGATATCTTTGTGAGATTCAAATGCACAAACATAACAACCAATAAAAGACTTCTTAACATCTTATATGGCCCCAAACAGTGAATGGGAAAACACAAAGTACACCTAGAAGATAATTCATCAAAAAACACGATTTGGGCGAAAATCTGCTCTCCACGGAACCAAAACATAACAACATAATCCCTCTTCAATCCACCTATCCAAACCTAATACAACTACCACTCACATATAACAAACCAAAACATCAAACTCACCTGAACCACATGTAATCCCGATATAATTAACACGTCATCGTCCCCAATTTCCTCCAAAATCCTTAGGTGAATGTGGCAGCAAGACGTTCTTCTCCACCATTTGTTTACGTCTGAGCCGCTCTTGCGAACAGCGCCCCGGCCTGCGTCGTTTAGCGAACACCAGCATTTTTTATCTATTTTTGGTGTTATAACTCGTCTAGAAATGGTACTTTTGGGCCATTGAGGGTGTTAGAGCCACTGTTGGTGGATTTCTCTTTTTTTGAAGAGGTTAGGTCTTTATTTGAATGGTTTATTCATTTGTTTCTAAATTATTTAGAGAGGTTGTATGGTGATGAAAACACTCCTATCCATGATAAAAATGTCACATCACCTAAGAATTAACTAATGACGATCTAACATTAACATTCAAAACCTGTATACCCATTATATGCCATTATACCAATATCCCCTTATCAGTACCCATACATATATCCCCTTCGTTATCATCTGTTCGCTAGTTCCTGTTCGTTATGGAAGCAGGACGGTTGTCAAACTCAAGTATTCCATGGCCTTTTTTAAACCTTAAATAAAGGCCTTATCTAAGAGGATGATAGGTGAGTAGAAGTCCAGTGTCTTGTAACCGTATTGTAGTTCTTTACAAGTGGTTATAAAGTAAAGGGTAAAAGAGAATTAGATTGGTAATTTCGTCTCGGGTCCTATAAGGTTGCATGCTAAAAAGTGTTATTTTCATACATGTTTATTTTGGAATTGAAGTTTTAAGGGAATGCTTGAAAGACACATGATGAAATTTGAGATATAGGTTAAAAGTAGGATTGTTTGAAGATGGGAATAAAAGGTAATGACTGAGATAATGAAACAATTCTATTAAGGATAGGCCTACTGGTGTAAATGACAATCCACTGGAAGTAAAAATGAGGATTAGAGTTATTGTAATATTCAAAATATTTGCGTGTCATAGATAACGACAAAGGTGGTAATTACCTATCAGAATCTGCCTGTGCACACGAGTCGTGGTACTTTGGCCTCTGTGTTTTGTGCGCTGACAGAGGCATATAGAATTCCACTTTGTAAATTACAGGACATTTCTTGTAAATTGTATGAGAAATCAGTCCAATTCTGAACAAGTACCAAGTATTAGATTCACGGGAGCAAATGCCAATATTCCAGAGCCCTACTATTCATATACCTGTCACTGGCTATGCTAAGGAGATGACTCTCTCAGGTGGTCGAACTTCCACCTGCTTCAGCCTTGGATAAAGTATTTCACCAATTGTGCTACCCTACAAGGACATGATACTGTAGCCACCTGCCTTTTTATTGTTAATCCCATTAGATTTATATTCTGAAACAGATATGATTTTTCTGTTCCCCTGATTTTGTGTTGTTTTTTGATGAACCAGTTAGGATTAACAGTTAGATGGTCCAAGTTTTGGTTACATATTCTATGCTTAGTCTCGCTGCAAAAACTAATGCAAAATTGGCTAGACTTAAGGCCATAGAGTTGTAAATTCTCTTCAGAATAACTTATAATGGAATATCAAAAAACAGATCTTCAAAATTTACACATGTTATTGGTGTTATGCTTACGCTTATGCCTATTTATGCCATGCTTCCTCTAGGAATTTGTCTTACCCTCTGTGGCTCGTTGCATTTATGAATGAAGTTCTGGCCCAGATTTTAAAGAAAATTAAGAATATGTTTGTAGCCTTTATTGAGTATGAATTAGTCACATTATTATTAAACTTCTCATTATTTGATCATGCTCTTGTTAAGAGAATAACAAATATGGATTAAGAAGTTCCTGTTTTCCCAAGGAATTGCACCCCCCTTGGAAATTACTGATGCCCTCCAGGTTAAGAACCCCTGCTGAAGACTATTTATATTTAGATTGGTAATTCTTTACAGTACGGATAGACTCAAGTCCCTAACTCCACGTCACAAAATTTATTCAATATTCCAAGTTGCTGTAACTGGGTGTGTCCTTTAAGCATTGCCTAAGGTGAGGGTTGATGGGTGCTTTTTTCCCCAACATACACAGAAAACATTGTCTTCATCTCAGCATGTATAGCAAGATGGAGCTGAAACTTGGGAGCACCAACTGGACTTTGAGCAGCGCTTTCCATAATATTTTCCTTTATTTGAGGTGTTACCATTTGTGTCTGCAGTTTATTCCTTGTACCCACAACTTCAACTTTTTGTCCTCTACAAGAATATCAGTGTCAATTTGTCCTAGCTTAGTGCCTCCATAGCACAAAGATTAACCTTTATATATGGATGTGTACTCATGTATTCACACCATAATTCAGTAGGCTTAGTTTCAGACTTTCAAACCAATAGTATTATTCAAAGTGATTCTGAGGTATTGTATGTATTTTTGTAAATGTATAATAACTCTCAGTTAGTCCCCCTAAGGCTCTTTCTCATCATTAAGCATCATTAAGATATTCTTGTTATTTTCTAGCCAGTTGCCTGCCATAAAGGATGCAAAACTGGCATGCTTTCAAGTGAGGTCAACCCACCTCTAACTAGTATTTCTGTAAAGTCAGATCAGCCTCTACTGCCAAGTTTATCTTCTTTGCAATAGGTTGGGTTAGCTATTTATACGTATGGTCTAGTTTGCTTTTTGTCGTCCATCCTAAATCCAAGAGGAAGACAGGAGGGAATTCTAAATGTTAGTTGCACCTACAAAGGAAGGATAACTTGGTTAACACACACAAATCAGTCTGACAGATTAAAGGAAGGCCAAGTTTTTAGTTGGCTGACCTATCCGGATTCTATTGCTGTGGTATCTGTCAAAGATAAGTTTTAAAAAACTCCAGGAATATGTATAGTTGTTTTGATATTCATTGGAATTACTTTTTTTCATCTAATAGTTTTTAAAAGATATAATAAGATCTATTTTTTGATCTAATAGTTGTTAAGATATATCAAATAGGATGTGACTGCTTGTGAATAGATATATAATTTTTGGATTTTTGTTTAACTGATTAAATTTTTCTCATATGTCTTTTAAGTTAATTATCACATATTAAATACCATAGAGTAATAATGTTTTAGATTTAGTTTTGTTAAGTGTATGTGTATATATATATATATATATATATATATATATATATATATATATATATATTATATATATATATATATATATATATATATATATATATATATATATATATATATATATATATATATATATATAGTGTGTGTGTGTGTATGTATGTATATTTATATATGTATATTTATATATACTTCAATTTTTTTTTCTAATAATTGCAATGAATATTTTGTCTAATTCTACCCAAACCATTGCAGGATGTCATCCAGTGAACAGCTCCGGTTTCTTCAGTTTTGTGGACCGCAAACATGGCTCTTGGTTTAGATGATTATGGAAGTGTTGAGCTCGACATAATGTAGACACTCCCTCTACAGTTTGTAACATATGTGATACAGATCATACAGTTTTTATTAAGTACTTTTGAATGAGCTTTTTATTGCCTTTGTCTGTAAGGTAATTTAAACATATCATAAAATTCCATAATGGCTGCTGTAAGATGTACTTGTACTCCATTGGTATGTACAAGATGCCCTTTGGAGTACAAGAACCTGAAACTATTAAAGCAGCATCTTGAAGAGAAGCATAATGCTGATAGAAAACAGATCTCTCTCATTTCAAGAAAACACTTAGAGCTTAAGAGAAGGTGTAGGAAATGTAAACCACAGATGTTTGGAATTTCTCAAAGGAGGTTTTCCAATGTGTATGAGTTTGACAATGATCATAGAGGAAAAGAGATTGATATCTGTAATGAAGGAAGAAGGTGTAAGGATGAAGGTTTAGTTATTGATACAGATGATTCAGATTGTGATGATAATGATTATGATGAAGACATTGATGATGAGTCCAGTATGGATGAGGTACCTTTTGAAATGAAGTGTACTTGTCCAAAGTTAAAGTGTGTCCATTGTTCAGGCATATTTTCTAAGTGTAGAGATTTATGGAATCACATGGATGAGTGTGATCATAGGCATGAATTGTATTTTAAGACTGTGCGTTTAAAGAAGAAAAAGTTAAAATCTTTGTGTCCAGTGTGTTCAGAGGAAAAGGGAAGTATTTTAGAAAGGAGGAACAGTAGGAAACATGGTAAAGTCGGACCAGGTTCTCAGGATAGGAGAAATTTGTTCTCAAACACTGTAGCAAACGATATGGAAAACTTACTTTGTGTTCAAAGTATAGAAAACTGTCAAAGTGTAGAATTATCAGCAATACCAGATGCTAAGATTGGAGAAAGGGTATCTCCCATGGCATTTTTAAAATCTGCAAATGAAGTAGATTATGGTAATCCATCATTGGTAGTCATCACAATATCTGAAGATGAAGCAGGGTTACCAGTAAGTAGAGTGGGGGATTATTCTGAGCTAAGGAAAGACCATACGAATGATGAATCATTCCCTATGTACATTAGCATGCGAAGATGTTTAGAACAGTGCCTCCAGCTTGCTGATTTTGAAAGCAATTGTAAAATTAGGACAGTGAGTATTTATGAAGAGAAAAATAAAGAGAAATTACAAAAGAAAGCTACTCAGTTCACATGTTTTGTGTGCTCAAAAAGTTTTGAAGTCTTTTCACAGCTTAAAGACCATCTAGTAGGTGAACATTTTTTGACATTTTGGAGAACTGAGGAAAGTTGTCAGACCTCAAAATTTGTGGAAATATTATCTGATGAGCTAAAGAGTGTTGAGTGCAAGTGTTGCGAATTCATCTGTCAAGAATGCAAGGTCAAGTTTTCCAAACGTTTCCTCTTGTTAAAGCACACTTCTGAAAGTCACTGTAGGATTTTCTCTCCACAGTTGTTGCAGGATGATCAGCAGAGAAAGATTGATGACTTTTGTAACCAGTGCATAATCCTTCAGAAGTTGTGGGTCATTGATTATACATTGTTTATCACAGTTTTGAAGCACATAGAAGAAATTTCTAGTGAACAGTTTACAGACCTCTTGCATTGTGACCGACTAAAAGAATCCTGTGCAAAAACTCAAGAAGTCAGATCTAAGAATGTGGTTGGTCAAGAAAGCAAAGAGCTGTGTACATTAATGTCTGAAGAAGAAACCATGAGTGCTAATGAAGAATTTGAGATCCATTGCTATTGTGTCTTGCAGCCAAATTGTAAGGTGCCTCAATACACTGAGTGTGTATGTCCCATGTTGAAGTGTCCAGAATGTCCACAGACAGTTTGTAACTTTAGTGAACTGAGGAGACACACTAGGTTGAATAATCATAATAATTCCAATGCCATGAGACTTCTCTGGAATAATTATAAATATTTCAAGAAGCACTGCCCTGTTTGCAGAGATTTTGTATATCATAATTACATTATGTGTCCACACTGCCCACATCTACATTTTGAAGAAGAAGACAAAGCAAGTAATCATATGGATATAGTCCATGGAAGAACTGCTGTGGGTGAAGACTTGACCTGTACTTGTACCAATTTTTTTCTGTGTTTAACATGCCAAAAATATTATAGAACTCCACAGGGTCTCCATCATCACATGAGAAGGCTTGGCCATGAAACTCCAGAAAACTTTGAAGCCATTCCAAAAATGATCAAAGATAAATTAGCACAGAGAAAAAAGTGTCCTCATTGCTCGCTCCTTACATCATCTGTTGCCTCTGATACTGAGGAATGTGAAGACCAGCCTGACTGCACCTGTAAATGGGCCGTGTGTAAAACGTGTGGGAATTCTTACAGGAAAGTTAGCTCGTTGTTGTCTCACATGAAAAAAATGGGACATCAAAGTAATGATAAATATATACAGTCCGAACGTGAAAAGGTTACCTCTTCATTTAAAGCGTGCCTAAGGTGCAACAGCAATGATGATAGGTTTTGCATCTTTTGCAACAAACGGGAGAACTTTGTCTACCATCACATAAGGACACACCATCAGGATCAACTGATCATGCTGCTTAGTGATGAAAATATGATGACTATTGATGAATATCAAGTGAACAATTTAAAATATGAATGCAGTATTTGTCTTAGAAGATTCTTACACACGCCAACACTCCGTTGCCATGTGCGAAAGGTCCATCCACACCATTATTTCACTTTGCAGTGTTTGAGTTTAGAAAATGACAATCTCACAGTGAATGACTTTGCTGTCAGAGAAAAAATTAGAGTTATTGGTGCTGTGCCTTCAAAGAATCCGATGCCCTGGAAGGAACAGCCTAGTACCAGCAAAATGTCTATTCCACAGTTCACAGATTCTAATGTTTCAAAACATGTTAAATATCAGAAATCAGGTAGAAATAGTCAAAGAAAGAAAAAAATATGTCTGTCGGAAATATAGAGATAGTAAAGAAAAAACTAGGAACTGTGAGATTGAAAAATCAATATGTCTTTCTCAGGAATGTGTGTAATGTTTAACTGCAGTAATTTATACGCTTTTACATCGTTTCTGGATGAAAATTTAATATGAAATGAAAAAAGTCTAACT